AGTATTGAAAAATTTGCAGTTATTTACATACATTCCATAATATTTGTACATTTGGATCATAACATCCGATATTGAAAATTTTTTTTTTTTTTATAATCTTGATAAAAGGATCACAAACAGAAAAAAACACTCGTATCTTATGGAATTATTCAGAATTGCATTTGGAATAAACCTATACATGTCTTGAGAGGCACTTTTTTGTGGAATTTCACCAAAAAGTAGTGATTTTGGGAAGAAAAAAATATTTTGACAATTTAGATCTAGACCTAGATCTAGCACTCAAAAATAATAACAGTGCATTAGCAGTTTGAGTGTAGTAGTATCAATATTATAAAGAAGAGTCCTACATTTCTTTATTGAGCAAAATAATGATACATTTTGTAGTGCAAAAGTACTATGACTGGTGTCTGGGCTATAATTTCAGCATCGAAAAAACAAAGTCGAATAAACTACGAAATCGCGTTTCAAAACTGAATCTAAACTTCCGATTTAGGGAGGAAACGCTTGACCTACGAGTCAATGTCATATTATAACCTTTATTTTAACATGGATACGAGGATTGGAATAAAATCTAAGCTGGAATTACAGGTCGGTGCTTGAGCCGTCGGGGGCGGCTTGGCGTACGGAAGACATTTTCGCCGTGCCGCTGCCCACGGCTCGGCGTAGCGAATGAGTGTATATATATTACCTGGTCCACTTTCATCTTATCAAACATCTGCCCAAAAATTATCAAGAGAGAAGTGAGACTCTCTCAAGCTAACTATACTGGAGATCATTGCTACAAGAAAGGAACAAACCAGTTCATTTAGTAAAGAAATACAGCAAATCAAAGTCCGCTATAGAATCTCAGTGGATGTGCCATGTATCTTATGAGTCTCCCAGTATCCTCTCTTTTCTCAACCAGTCTCTCATCTCCTGCTCCAACCTCCTCCTTGAATTTTTCTTGCTCTCTGTTTTTCCACAGAACCCTCTGACAATCAGACTTCTCTTTACCAGGCTCACATTAAACACACAAAAATAAGGCACAGTCATCTGGATTAATCTTTTTTCCCAGACTTACAGCACATGGATAACCGCAACGTGGTACTCTGAGTTCAAAGATTCAAGAAGCTCCGAAACGTTGGCTCTCACAGCCACCTCTACAGCCCAGCTGTCACTGGCATCAAAGTCTTTGTCTATCTCAAACCTCAGGAACACTGTGAATCAAAGTTGGAAAACTCCAGTCATGTCGCAACATCCACCAGCAACAATATTCTATAATGTTGGATTCATACACTTTTTAAATTATCTCGCCTTGTTATCAATAGCAATATAACATAAACAAGATAGACGTTAGAATTTGTGTATCTCAATTGATTTGAACATCTTGTGTAATGCTGTAACTGAATATATACTAAACATCATCACATGAACACATCTTGCTTTTTTTTTTCAATTATAGCACAGACACACCACAAATGAAGACAAACATGTTTGCAATGTCAGCTGCCAAATACTCACTTGAGGTTTTCCAAGCTATGAGAAAGAGAAAAAACAAAATATATATCATTAAAGTAGATGAAAGTTCTCTTAACTCTTATGCACAAACGATTCATGAAAGAAAAAAATGAGAACATGGAGTCAATATTTAAACATTTTCACTCTCTCACTCACAGGATCAATCACCCATATCATCTGATCTGTGTGGATGGCACTGACAAACATTTACAACCAGTCATACACAGGACATAATTGCCTGGTGACATCTTTATGAAAATTACTTACTCCAGCATTGTATTTGTACTGATGGCGCTATTTCCCTTTTATGTTGTTGGGAAAGCTGGACAGTTGCCACTTCCAATATGTATTTTCTCTACTCTTCTAATCTTTGTGTATCCTACATGATCTTTTTTGTTTCACTCCCAGCACTTCTCACATAGAGATTACAAGCAAGATCAAATGATACTCTACACCAAAACAAAAACATAAGGTTTAGAGAACATTACTTGAGTGGAAATAATCAGAGTATCGCCTTTCCAGCTTCAAATACTCAGGTTTTGTCTGGTTTCTTTGTACTGGCCATTTCTGATATCCTGGCTTTGATCCCCAATGAAAACAAAGCATGGTGAAGGTAAGCTGAAGTGACACTTTTCTAAATGACACTTATTGCTGTCAGTCTTTCACCACCATTTAAAACATGGCTACCTACAAGGGAAAAGCACAAACCTCCGCTACAATTCTTGAACACGGTCTTCTCTGTACAGGTGAACTCTTTCCCACAATGACCTGGCACACTCACAGTCTCCACGACATCACACCAACTGACCGCTGAGAAATAAAAGTTTTGTTCCAGGCATTGCAAATTCATCAACATTGAAATCCTCCACAGTTCTACTTTACACACAAAAAAGTTTTCATAATTACACTTAGAACGCACTTTTGAGGTATAAGAAAACAAGCATATCTGTCAAAATGTGGTGGAATCAAAAGCTCATCAGTTTTGAGGCATATGGAGTTGTTGATACCATCTTCAAGCTCGTTCATTTGTCTTGTTTTTAATTGTATCTTGAGTAAAAATAGAGATATTATATGCCATTGAAAGAGGTGAGTTCGCCCAGGCCTGCCGATCTAAAAAATATAAAAATCAGGATCTCAGGAGGAAAAAATCGGGATCTGGTGAAAAAAAATCAGGATCAAGGACAAATTATCAGGGTGACTTCCACACTGACTTCAAAATGTTCCAGGTGTCTGAGTGTGTGTGTGTATGTATGTGTGTGTGTGTGTGTGTGTGTGTGTGTGTGTGTGTGTGAGTGTGAGTGTGTGTGAGTGTGTGTGAGTGTGTGTGTATGTGTGCGGGTGTATGTGTGATCATTAAAAAAAAATACTGTAGTAGACCTATATCACATCAAGCACTCCTAGTCAATGTATCTAACCCCTCCTCCCCCCAAAAATCAGCTGGAAAGATATTCAACTATTGCGAATGAACTTAACAAATGCAACTCACATGCCGAAGTCATGTGATGTGATGTGAACTCATGATTGAAAAAGTTTTACTAACAGGTCTTGATGATAGGCCTGACTAACCAGAACTCGGACCGAGCTTTTTTTTTAAAGCAACAGTAGAAAGAAAAATAATTTCTATCATTTGTATGTCACAAATGTAACAGTTATCAGGCCATCATCAAAGATTTCTAAGTGGAAACATAAGCAAAAGTAGATCTTGAGAGTATCCTAAATTGGAATGCCAAATCAATACTACTTTAGTTACAGTTGAAATAACATGTACGAGCAAAGATCCAACACTACATGCAGCGAATCAACTACTAAATCTGGCATAGATATTTCAGAAAATGGTGTTCAGAGTTACTGCTGACAAAAAATTCAATGGGTGCTTCCTGCGACAGAGATGAAGGCAGAGCCTGTTTTTTAAATAAAATCCATGGCAACAGACGGAACAAAGGAATCAGGATACATGTGATCAAAATCAGGAAAATCAGGATGCTTGAGATTTGAGGAAAAAAATTGGAATATCTCAGTTAAATAGGGATGAGTGACAGGTCTGGGGTTCACTTCATAGAAGAGGAAAAATTAGTGAGAAAAAGGCCGCCAGTATTAAAATTTGGAGATTTTCAACGGTTGAGAGTTCTTGGAAACTGAAAATTTATATTTTTGTTCCTTTTTTAAATGCTTTTCAGTAATATCCACACAGAAATCTGTTTATAAATAATGATGGTGAGACCCTCCCAAAAAAGAACAAAATGTAGAATAAATGTCAGTTTCATTGATTTCATTATTTTTATGAACACCTTCCCAAAGTCCAACCCTTCGTCCCCATCGGGGGAGGTGGAAACAGGACAAAGGAGGGAATAGCTGAGTCTGGGTAAAGTATGGAGTGATTTTACGTCACTGAGGCCAGCCGTGAAGGCCGACCCGGGTCACCCCAAAACGTTGCTGGCTAAAGGAGCTCTGGTGAAACCGTAACTAGCCTAGCAAGCTGTTGGCCGATAATTACTGCTATGAAACAATCAACGCAGAACACACAGACTGATTTAAACAGAAAAAGACTAGGAAAAGTAAACAGACAGCGAGCTGGAAAAATAATTAAAATAGGCACATGGATTGTCAGCGGACTTGGAGACAAAGAACCAGAATATAATTATTTCATGTAAAGAAAGAAAATAGCAATCACGGGCTAGTCAGACAAAAGGAAGAGAGGCAACCACAGCAAGCTAACCCATAAAGGCTACCTCCTGATCTGGAGCGAAACACCTGAAAATGAGAGAGCCAAACATGGAGTAGCTTTCATCATACTCCTAGCCAAAATGGATACAATCTATGAAATCAGACTTACTCTCACAACCAGCAATGTAAAGCAAACAAAGAAGAAAAGGGGAAAAACCATGACCAACCTAAGAAAAATGGAAGAACCAGACATCAGGTAGGCAATCAAAGACAACATTACGAAGGAGTACAATAAGCTGTCACCTGAGACCAAAGATGTAGAAGACGAAGGACAAAAATGTTTTAAATCCCTGTCAGAAATACTTAAAAACAGTTGTGGCAGCAAACGAATAGGTGGAAACAAATGCAGAACAACATGCTGGAGGAATGATGAAACCAAAGAAGGAATTAAAATTAAAAAGAAGATATTCAAGAAATGGCAGAAGTCAAAGACTGAAGAGGACTATACAGAATACAGGAAAGCGAGAAGAGAGACCAAAAGAATCATCAAAGCAGCTAGGGAAAATGTATGGAAAATACATGGCAAGAAACTGGCCAAAATCTGCAAGGAAAACCCTAGAGAGTTTGATAAAAGTGTGAACAGCAGGCGGGTAAGGAAAGATACATACAACCTGACATGCATTGTAAACGATAAAGAGGGTAATGTCATTCTCAGCAACCATGTCAGAAAGAAAAGATGGGAAAAGTACGTCCAAGAACTACTCAACCCAGACGCTTGCCACGGACAACAAGAAGAGTTCTAACCATCATATCGAGAGCATACAGAACCATCCATGCTTCTCAGTGAAATTGAAAAGGCACTCAAAACCAGCACCAAGAACAAAGCCCCAGGACCAGATGACATCACAGTGGAAGCCATAAGAGCTTGTGGAAACACCGGCTCACTGTGGCTGAGGCGAATTTTCAATAGAGCCTGGGAGCAAAGGAAATGCCCAGAAGACTGGCAGAAATCCATTGTGGTCCCATTAAGGAAAAAGAAAAGCAGCAAATGGGACTGTACAAAGTACAGAGGCATCTCTTTATTAAGTCATGAAGGGAAAATATATGCAAAGATACTTAAACAGCGGATATGACCTATTGTAGAGAGAAATCTGAGCAAAACTCAGTTTGGATTCCAGAAGGGAAGAGGATGCAGTATGCATGGATGCAGTATTTGTATAAAGACAGTTATGCGAGAAAACAGTTGAACACAACAAAGAATCCAACATCGTCTTTATAGACCAGGAGAAGGGTGTTGACAGAGTAAACCATGCAAAACTCTGGAAGACACTCGAAAAGTATGGCGTCAGAGGACAAATGTTAGATAATGTCAGAGCTCTATACACCAACAGCAGAAGCTCAGTAAGAATGAAGGAAGGCAATACAGTCTGGTTCAAAGTAAGATCTGGAGTATGACAGTGATGCGTTGTATCAGTCATATGGACACAGTAATGCAAGACCCAAACCAAAGCCTAGAAAGCCTTAATGAACTATTCGCAGACGACAAATGTCATATTCATCCAAACCAACAAAGCCTCCAAAATCACACTACCCACTGCTGTTAGGAAATGGTACTTTAGTTTGCAGGCAGCCAGCGCACCGCATCTTTTAATCTGACCCCGGCCACGGGGTTATGAGCTCGTGGCCAGGGGAATTCCGCATGTCCCGCTGACAGCGTTGTTCATTTCATTTTAAGGACAATTAAACTTGCAAAATATGCCGATCTGTGACTTTGTAGTCATTTTATTTTTTCCCGTTTGGAACAAGGGGGAACTTCTGCACTCACTGAGAAAGATACAAAATTGTATAAAATAACTATAAATATATATAGCGTTCCAAAAATGGCTCATATTTTACCATTGCCCTTGTTGGTGTAGATTTTTTAATCAAAATTCCAATCTAACAAAACTTACACAGTTCTTCAAATTCACATAAAATACACCAGAAATGGTCAAATATCAAAACTCACTTTGTTGTTTTTGTGGGAAGTTCACGGTTCTGGAGTAGTGAAAAGTTGATTGCACTATCATTTTTTTTTTCTTTGTCGGAGGCACATTGGATAATAGTTCTGGATTTGACATGAGGTGCTGAGATTGCATTACAACTTTCAGCTGCTGTTCAATATTGCGTATCCCAGCTCCTCTTCTCTTTAGCTTTGCCACAGAAGCATGGATACGTTCACCACCCTGTTCCCCATGTAAAGCCAAACCAAACCCATATGTTTGAAAGCACTGGATGCAGTGGTTTTCTACAATGTGGTGTTTGGGAAGTACCTTTTCACTAGCGTGTCTCCTGTATAATGACAAGTAAGTTTAGATGCATGTGTCAATGTGTGGCAGTCTGTCTTTTGACACTGGTTGGCTGTGTGAGATGTGGATGTGAACGCGACTCATGATGTATTTGTGGCAGTGATTGCCAATGAAAGAGCGGCTGTGATATGCCTGCAGTGTGATGTGTGAGTCAAGTATGGTGTCTAAATGAGAACAGATAGGGCGAGTCCTAGGGCTAAGGGGTTCGTGCTCTAACTCAGAAAACCTGTCTTCTTTCTCTATCAGTTGTTTTAGTTTTGAAAGTTAATTCTCTCCTCTTCAGAGTCAGAAAGTACTACAAAACCTTCTAAATGTCTAATCTCCCCATTTAGTTCCTCCCCACAACTCCATATGTCTTATCTTGTCCACGTAAGCTTTGCAGATTGTTGTAGAACGTATTGTCTGTGAGTCTGTTGTAATGCTAACACCAAAGGCCAAGAAGAGAATGTCGAATGCAAATTTAGAACACTTCAGGGGTAGCATTTTCTGTGCCTTGACTCACTGTGTTCTGCTACGACAAGTTATGCAAAGTTCGTACAGCTTTTGAAAATGCGAATCCTCTGTATGTTTCTCCATTTCTTAACTTGGCTAAAATATTCCCCACAAAAATTGATGAGAGAAATGTTGGAAAAATAACACGATATTTCAGAAGAGAAATGAAAGATCACATCCGAGTGAATCACAGGTGAGGGGGTACCTTTTTTTAAAAAAATATATAAAAATCACAAAATTCACTTCTCACAAATAACACTTGCTCACACAGCGTAAGTATTGCTGTCTCAAGTGAAGCACAGAAATCTGAGTGAAAATCTGAGTTTGGCTTTTGAGATAATAAACTTCACAATGGAATAATATTTAAAATGTAACATTAGATTAACAAAACACTTGTACTGCAAAATGCGTAAATGCTATAACAACAGTGAGATTTCTGGAGCGAAAGTGGGATCGTCTTGTTAGTCTAAAAATGATCTTTAAAATGAGATGTTAAACAGGCTTCTAGGTTTATCAGATCAGAAGAAATAACGAGGGAAAGTGATACAAAAATTACCACAACCAAGTTGCACAGGCACAGCTGCGGGTATTGCTATCGTCACGGTTGTTAAGTACAGGAGTGGCCGACCGACACTGATTTATTATCTTCGCGCAGGAGGTCAGACCAGGGCTCGGTCACCAACTAAAGTACAACATGTGGGATTTTAACAGCTGTGTACCAAACTGAACAACAGCAACGAGAAATTTATCATGAAAATAAGCACATCAAAAACAGAAGTTATGAAAGTTAGTCTAAACTGTAGTACCCTGAACATCCATGTCAATAGAAAACATCTGAAACAGGTGAAGGAGTTAAAATATCTTGGCAGTACTTTTTCTGAAAATGGGTCCATAGACATAGAAATAGAAATGCAAACTCAAAAAGCCAATGCTGCCACCTACCAGCTCACACCCCTCCTATCCCATCCAAACATCTCCATAGACACAAAGAGACAGCTTATCACCTCAATATTCACCCCAACCTTATACTACCAGACTTTGACATTAAATAAAACCCATGAAAGCAAAATCACCGATTGTGAAATGAAAAGTCTCCGCAAAACCCTTAACATCATAAGACGAGACAGGCAGAAAAATGATGAAGTAGGAGCAGCTATCGGCATTGAGTCCTGCCTGCATTACAAAGAAAGACTGAGAATAAAATGGTTTGGCCACTTGTTACGTATGTCACCTGGTGAGCCAGCCTCGAGAGTCAACAATACCAAGCACTCAGGCTATAAAGGAAGAGGAAGGCCACGCAAAAGGTGGATTGAGGGCGTCAAGGAAACCCTGAGATAACATGAAAGAGCTGCGGAGTTGGCCTACCATAGAAAACTGCATCTCCCCTCAATGCTTAACGGCAACAGAGGATAAAAAGTAAAGTAAAAGTATGTATGAACACTTGATTTTACCACAATGACATACATACGGAGTTTAGCCATATTCTAAACAGGCACATTCATTGTTATTCCAGGAAGTATTACTCTGGAAACAAAGAATACTCCACTAGTGTCTACAACAACAGTCTGGCTGTATTCACGTGAGAAGGGGACTGTCACAACACTCACCTTGCACTCCTTTTTGTCGATCCTCTGCTGTCCGGAAAAGGCCAAGTCTGCCTCTGAACTGGAATTCTCCAAATTGGCCATCCCAGGAGATATGAGCTCTTAGCATTCTTGCTGCCATGGATTCAAGCATAGTCTTGTTCAAAGAGTTCTTAAATACGCCCATAGAATTCACCATAATGTAGGTCTCCCCAGTGTTTTCATCATAATGAGCGCTGCAAAAAGTCACAAAGTAAAAAACTGATAATATGAACACTGCATCTTTAACTACAATATTTATGTTATGACACATGACTTGCAGAAACAAGGGAAAGTCAACTTGAAAGCACACTGGTCTCCATATAACATCCCACGGCTAACCACTTGTATTAGAAGCAAGATCTCAGCCAAATGCCACATCAAGGAAACTAAGATTGGCAACTGCTGGTATTAAATTCTAAGTGTTTGAACTTTTGAGCCCAAAGAACACAGCCTTATAACCTTTCTCATGATTCAAAAGGCATTGCTACTCTGTTGCCTGTACAACCAAAATAAAATATATCATCAGCCCTGAAACATTCTCCATAAAGGAACCAAACTTACCTGATCTGGTCTAACTTTCCATAAAGATAGCCCAAATCTCCAAATTCATCTGCAGCCTGAAACAAAGAAATATTTTTTAAACAAGACCAGTGATATCATCTTTTGGGATTTTAATCACATTGCCAAGAAGAACCTTCTGTCCTTAAGACTACACATCCTTACACCACACCCACAGTCCTCCCAATGTTTCGACAATACCACTACTCTAACGGGCTTTCTCAAAATGAAAACTTTAACCTTGCCCGTTCCGTTTCCCAACAAAAGCCTCATCTAGCACTTCGTTCAATCCTTCTCAGATCATTCATCCTTTCTTTTCTATCACAGGTTAGCACATTCTTTGATCAATCCAAAGTTTCACCTACCAGCTCGCCCATTCTTTCTCCAAGTTTGATGGCTGTGTCACTCCACTGATACCAGATATCACTGAAATTTTTGTTCAGGACCACGCTGAAGAACACCAGCCGCGCCTTGTAGTCTGTCACCAGAAGTCAGGGATACATCATTAGACACTTCTATGCCTCTACATTCAATACTGTTTTCTTTTAGGAGAACACACAATTTAACAATGAGATATTTTGTCTTTTTGCCCGAAGTCTCAACTTAATAAGATGCACACTAGGTAATACTCAAGACTCAAATATGGGTTCATTTCCAGGACAACCTTCTTGGAGAAAGTATTTTCCACTAAAAACTATTCTCATTTCTACTAGATATTTCCCCCAGTTAAAGAGCTCAAGTGCATACCCCCCCCCCCCCTTCAGAAAGTTTGCATACAGTGGGTGCTGTTGATCCTCACTGAAAGAACATTCACAACATGTACTCTGAACACTATCAATATATTCTAAAGGACCAATTCAAGATCACCAACACTCCTGACTACATCAAAAGCAATTCAGCTTGGAAGATAAAGCAATGTACACTTTCCAGCTATTCATAACGATTCAGTCAGTCTGATGATCACTATAGCAGAAAAGTCAATACGCCAAACACCTCATAAAATACTAGAGGAAAAGCTTAACATTACTTTCTTCTGCCATCTAGTCCAAAGTCAACAGTCATCTGAAACTTACCAACAAATGTCACCTCAGGTTTGATGGGAAATTCAAAATGCACGTCAAATCCGTCCTGGGGGGTGGGGGGGAGAAAAAAAGAAACATTTCATCCATAAACACTTCAAAGGATAAACAGCATTAAAAAATTTTGCATATCATATCGATGGTGTTTTTCTCTAACCGTGTAACTGGAAAAATTGGGTCAACACGGATTTGCTGTTTAAACGGGCCAGAAGCCATTTTCAGACGTGTTTTAGTAAGAGTCTTTCGGAGCTCGCAACCGCACACGGTCACACTATACTCATTATGCTAAAAGGACGGACAGACATTTATGAAAATTTTTGTAAATATGGTACAGACTTATTTACATTTGTATATACAATATTATTAATTTCAGTGTATGTATATATATATATATATACACTGACAATGACAACTATATATTTTTATATCCTATTAAATAGTCCTATTTCTTTAACATAACTTAAAATTTTTCCAGGGTCAACAATGTCAAAAAGAGTTTTGACATCTTTACATTTAAGGGAAGGCGCGGGTCTTCAAAATACAATGTTTGGGTCAAAATATTTATTTTCAACTTTTTACATTTTCGGGTACCTGGATATCTTGGGAACAGATACTCCCTGACCTCCTTTAGAAAATATTTTTAAAAAAATCGTTTCAGGGTCATTTCCTTTAGGGTACGTTCTTCAAAGTAGGGCCCATTTTTTTCATCAAATGAGCCCCAAATGAGCCTATAATTAGACGGTCACGACAGCAACGTGTCTCCATGTGACCCTAACATGTTTAGTATTGTTGTAACGGCAAGCTTCTCCTCTTCCAAATCGTAAAACACTTTAGAATGATGTATTTCTGGCAGTTTAGTTATGAAGCAGGACACATGGCGCCCCATTTTGTAAATCTTAGTTTGTTTTGAACAAAATGAATCCCCTGTTCTAAAAATAGTGACCATGACGTCAATATTCAGTCAGAGATTGCCGCGGGAGTGGTGGGTTTTTTTTTGGTTTGTTTGTTGGTCGTTTTTTTTGGTGAGTTTTTTTTGTAATGCAGGTGTTTTTACACGTCTATTGACACAATTTAGATCATTTAGGAAGCTGGCTTTCAACCCTGCCTGTCACTATCAGAGCTAACCCGGGCTTAGAGGGATACCACATCCCAACAGAAAGACCCAGCTACTCAATTGAAAGTCTCAATGCTCAGGAACCGAACTCAAGTCTCCCGAGTGTGACAGTGAAGCGCCTGACCCGTACAAAACAAATATTGATTGTTTGTTTTTTGTTAGGGGGCATGGGATAAAAAATCGAGAAAACGAACACGTATGAGAGAGAGAGAGAGAGAGAGAGAGAGAGAGTGAGAGAGAGAGAGAGAGAGAGAGAGAGAGAGAGAGAGAGAGAGAGGGAAAGAGAGAGAGAGAGAGAGAGAGAGAGAGAGAGAGAGAGAGAGAGAGAGAGAGAGAGAGAGAGAGAGAGAGAGAGAGAGAGAGAAGGTGATATGATGTGTAGAGATGATGTTGCATGTAAGAGTATTCTGTGTCACATTTCGTCAAATGTTTGGTCCACATAATGTCGCTTACCTTATCTTACACAAGCTAACAGGAAATAGCCTCTAATTCAGGGCACAGAGCCCATCACAGAAAATCAAGAAAACACTTTGCTTGAGATTGAACCCTCACCAAACCAAACGAAGGTATTGAAGTTGAGGGCATAAGAAAGGAAGACATTGGTGTAACCGTAGAAATGGAGACCATACACCAAGTGCATGAAACAAAGGGGAAGCGAAACGCCAGTAGAGACACAAGGACAAAAGAAGTCAATTCAATAAAGAAAAGGAGAAAAAGGTCAGGAATATCTGGAAAGAAAGTACACGTCAAAGGTTACATTTTGTCAGGGAGGAGAAACCAGCCAGAATTCTCGGCAACTGCAGCGGCTGCAAAACTTCCTTCACCTATTGCAGCAAAATGACGGATGAAGACCGAAAGCAAGTTTTTGACAAAGCGTGAAAAGGGAATTGGGCTCAGAAACAACATTTTGTGTCAGCAATGACACACAGGAAAGACATCCCCAAATGTACTACACAAGATTCGGACTCCTCAATATCAAGAGAATCTACTTCGTGTGTGCACCACTATCTGACACAAGATAGAACTTACAACAAATGTATTCTATGAACCGATGGCATCAACTATCAAAATTTATGTTATCATGAGTAAAGCACTGACTCATTTTTCTCAACAGAACGGCAAAATAATTGTACAGAAATTCTAACAGAAGGGCATACATGGATGCGAGTCAATAGAGTTCACAGCACAATCCAAAGGGCAATTGGTAGACAAGAGATTTTTGGCTGGCTGATTATGTCAGAATAATGGAATCTGCAAGGAAGAACCTACAGCTGCATGAGGTTAAATACCTGGAACACACATTTTTTAATGAACATTTCAGCAACAACTCGCGCCCTCAGATCGATCAGGCCTGGTGATCCAATTGTTGACATCAAGGTTCCGCATCATGAACCAACTGGTGAGATAACTTTTAAACTGACTTTTGTGAATGGCTGGGGAACCACTTCTACAAAACATGGAGAGTCAACTTTTTAAATTCGAGGTCCTGTCCCACTTAATCCCAACAAGCTTCCAAAGTATAAGCATTTGCAGGAACTGAAGCCATATTATATGCTTATATGGATTTCCATGCCTCTTATGATGCTCTGCCACATGATTAACTTTCTCGCCCTAGAACATTCAAATTTAAATGTCAGTATCTCTTAAACCAAACAAAATGTGGCTGGGCACTGTGATATCTAGAAATATTATTGAATCCCTTTTAAGGCAAACAAGGCAGGGGTAGGCTTTGAGCAACCTACTTGGATAACCTAAACAGAAGGGTGACAGGGAAAGATCAGGATAATGTCTACGCAAAGGAATGAATGGAAAACCATGATCGCCCATGACTGTCGCAGATCTGGCACTTGATGATGATGATTGTAAGCTGACACCTAAGTTAACTGATTATAAAGTAGGCCTAACTGTACCAGATATCACTGTTGAGCTTATCATTTATAAACTGAGTGATGTAAATTATTTGAATGCTTTCAAAAGTCAGTTAACATGTGAATGTAAACAAGTGCCAGCCGTTTTAATGTGAGCAATTCAACGTTTATGAATACAAACGGCGGTTTGTTCTTTGCGCTCATTTTGTGAATTTTCATTTATTTTATTCGTTGTATACATGAATTATTTTTTCTTTAAAACATGCATGACTATACTTTACAATTTTGTCGTGTTCATCAGGCGCTCCTCTCCATTGTTGTTAAAATTGAAATTTGATAAATGTTTATCATTGCTACTTTTTGAAGTACAATAAAGCTTGGTTTGACTGTTGCAAAAACACCTTGTTTGTTTTTTAGTTCATTTGTTTGTTTTGTTTTGTTTGTTTGTGTGTGTGTGTGTGTAGTGTGTGTATGTGTGTGTATGTGTGTGAGTGAGTGTGTGTGTGAGAGAGAGTGTGTGTGTCTGTGTGTCTGTGTGTGTGTGTGTGTGCGCGCGCGCGCGCGCGTGCGTGCGTGCGTGTGCATGCGCGTGTAACATTCTACAAACACACACACACACACACACACACACGCAGGCGCACATGCACAAATACATACACACAAACACACACACAAATACAAGCACACACACACACACTGCATTTGAAACCTAGATCTAATCGTGTAACTGGCTGCTCCCTTAACGCCTAGCTGGTTCCTGTGGCTGATTCTGTCATGCTCTAATCGCGCGTCTCTCTGACCGTTTAGTGCTTGACAATATTTTGTGCGATAACCGCGTAACTGGAAAAACAGCTAAAATTAGATGTAACTTTTTTATAAAGAATTACAATGAGGGCATGGGTAGTCCTGTAACAAGACTTATTGAACAAAAATGAACAAATTTGGGGATTTATTACTCCGAGAAATACGTTTTTACTCTCTCCTGAAAAATTTCCCCAAAACAAGTTACACGTTTAGAGAAAAACTCTGTTGATATGATACACATCCATACACTACAATGTAGAAACAACAGATTCTTATAATACCATCCATCTTCCTTCTTCTTTCCACAAGAAATTCACTTATAAAATTCTTTATCTGTCAAGCAACATTGCACCCAGTTTTCAAAACATTCAATTGTATTTTTTAAAAAACAAAAAAACATTCTTGCAACTGGCACAACATTTCTGTTGATAAAAAAAACCCTACAGTTTTCATAAGTCCTAACTATTTCCATCTAGAAGTATCGTTACTTATGTTTATTTTTATTTTTCACACTGACCTTAACATCTCCAACATTTAAAGAAAACTTTAAGTTATACCCTAGGAACAAAAAAGCCAGATGCACATCTCAGCTATTTTACTTACGTATTCGGGCTCAGAGTAGGCAATTTTGTAGAGTGGGGTCAGGTCATAAAAGTGTTCCAGTAGAACATCAACACTGCTACGGTTATGTCTTGATGCTGTCAGCGACTGTGCCAGCTCCCTGCGGGAAAAACCCCCCCACACAATTTATTCTCCACATCATCATCATCCAGTGCCAAGTCTGCGACAGGCATCGGCGATCATGGTTGTCCATTCATTCCTTTGCTCCGATGCTCTCAAAAAAGCTACGTTTCCCCGTTACCCATACCAGATACCAATATAAATAATGTCAGTCCATTGCAATACCACTTCATAGAAACAAGGAGAAAATAATTGGTAGACAGAAAAACCTAGAAACAAGGAGAAAATAATTGGTAGACAGAAAAACCATCTCAATGTGATAAGAAAACATATTATTACAATAAAATCACATCATGGAAAAAGAAAAACTTTTTTTTCAAAACACCACATCGTGTTAACAGAAAAGGTCTTTGATTCGAGCAGAAATCTCAATAAAAAAACAAGAAATTGTCAGTGGTAGCAAAAACCACCTTAGAGCAACAAGACAAAGTCTTTTTCTACCCAGTCACTTGAGAGGTGCGATATTAAAGGTTCACTTCTCACCAGGCATTGTAGACTTGTACACTGACTTTGCTCAGGAAACGGTCACAGGGGGTAGTCCCTCCACAGTCTGGGACACACACTTCCTTCTCATTCAGAGGGCCAGAGAGAATGTTCACACACTCTGGCTCACACAGACCACTGTGGGGAATCATATTGTACAAATGACTCACTTAGCAAGGACGGCACTTATATGACCTTATTATGTTGCAAGTGCCGTAAAACACTTACTAGAACTAAAAAAAACTTAGTAAGGACAAAAAGAACACTGTCACAGAAACATTTTACCATGTGTCTCATCTACTCACAATGAATAAATCTTCTTTCAACCTTGTCCTCTTACTGATTTCAAGTTTAAACAAAATGGACAAAAGTGTTTCCAGAAGGGATATAAATAGCGAAGTGTTCATCACATACTAGAATTCTACTGCACATTACTTTCAGATAAAGAAACTTCATTAGATACCAAGAAATTCATTCATTACAGAAAAAGAAAATAGGGCGCAGTAGGAAATACATTAACTCATTGAAGACGCAAGTTTTTCACCAAAAATTTTCCAGGAAACGCACGATTCTTACTTATTTTTTAAAAATCAGTGAGATAAACCTTTCAACTGTACAGGTATAAAAGTTGACACAAAGTAAGATCATCATGTAAACTTACATAAAATGTATTTATTTTTACCAAAGTTTTGAAAAAATTATGTTTTAGGTGAAAAAAAAAAGTATATGTAAACGTGGAAAAAAACTTTTTTTAATGAGCTGAGCACATGAATCTCAGAATTGATTGTAGTCAATTAGAATGGTTTCAAACAAGTAATACTAAGTGGTATTATCTCTATGAATAGTGACATTGCCAGGAGCATATCGTCGGCCTGGTGATAAAACCGTCTAACCCACAAAATATCCAAAAACTTTTTACTGGCCCTATCGATAGTAAATTGTCCATTTCATATGCTCATTCAAAGACAGATCTGAATTTTGTCTAGAAATGTCTTTAAAACATTAGAAATAAAACCGTATAACCCGGCACCCATCGGATTTTAGCCCGATAATTCCGACTATCCCACCTTCGAGGGACGGAATGAGGGTTGGCTGTTTTTATCGCGCTAACAATGAGGGGCCACTTGCTACGTTACCGACTAACCCCGGCTTTGACTCCTCTCCGGACTTCGTTTGAAATCAGATTCAGACCTGTAAAAGTCCAGAATTTGTTCACATAACCGTGGGAGCTCTCGAAAAAGGAATATTTGTGTAATATTTCTTGTTGGTTTTATTGGGGATTTATATAGATCTGGTTGTTTCCTCTTTTTTCTTCGTTTAAATGCTGCTGGTAATGTTATTAATGACTAAAACTCCCCGCTGTACCCTCAGAACTGTTCATCTTGTGACAATTCCGGTATTTGAAATGCATCTTTATGGATTTTGTTTTATATGAATCTATGTTTTCTGTCCGCGTGTTTTTCTTTGTCTTTGTACTCAAAATTCACCGATTGTGAAGGCATTTTCCCCTATTCGGACTACTTATAACTGTCACTTCTCCTAATCATTTTTCCTTCACAATTGAATGGACGAAGTAGATAGCATTTCCTCTTTTACTAACTCACTCAAAAAAATAATAATTGTGGGACCTGTCCAGCACACCGTCTGCCCCCAACGATCGTTGTTTTTTAACTCATTCGCTACACTAAGTATGCATGTAATACACTGTTGGACACAATCATATGCACTTTTTTCTACTAATCAGATGGCGTCAATCTCATATAAATGGGCAAGGGGGAAAAAAAAAAAAAATCAAAAAAAAAATCATTCGCTACGTATTATTTTCGGCTTGTAGACGAATTTCTTTCGGGAGGGCGAAATGAGATGATGACTAGTGCGCAGTTCACAGGTCTTGGGGGCCATAAATTCAAATAAATATCAACATATTATATACCAATATTTTCAGTATGGTTTGTAGAATACATCTGTAATGTTTATTTTGAGTATTTTTCAACTGTGGTTCCTGTAAGAGGCGATTATGCAACACAATTGTGATTGGTTGCGGATAAAATTTGAAAACAAAAAATTTATAATCTCAGATGAAACTCAAAAAATATGTTTGCACCTAGTCAAATTATACATCAAAATAACCATAACTGTATATAGAACAGGAGAATATGGAAAAATGAGCAGTTATTTACATATATTCCATAATATTTGTACATTTGGATCGTAACCTCCGATATTGAAAAACATTTTTAAAAAAATAATTTGTTAGGAGAATTTTCTACAGAGTCCAGTGCCATGTCAATGGCAGTGGCCTCCGCAGTGAAAATGGAGGCTTCACGATGGAGTCTCCTCTGGT